GTCATTTACGTTCTCTTGAAAATACGTATAATGAATAATTAATGTATTTATGGTTATTCGCTGCCTTATTAATACGATTCCTTTCCTTCTGGGATCTTATAAGCGTACAATCCGCTTCCTCGTCGTGTTCTGTGCTACAGAAAAACTGAACAGCTAAAATGTTTATTAACACTGCGGACACTTATCTCAACTGGTGAGATAGCCTAAACAGATGCATTTTCGGTCCAGGTCTCACACTTTCTTCACGGTTATTCTCACAAATTTTATTGCTTTCTCTCCATTCATATTCGCTTTCTGTTTCACTCTAATTAAGCGATTGTTTTTTACTCCCCTGACGACGGCAGTGTTCGAATATTTTAAATGGTAAATATGTTTTATGTTGCTGGTGTGCTAGATTCTCCCTGAGTTCTGCAGACATTTACATCTGACTTACCCATTTGGCTTCTTTCTGTTCGACTGCGCGTTCTTCACAATATGGCGATAACGCTCATGTGCATGAACATATTCGGCAGTGCGTGCTCACCCTTTCACAATTTCTGTTTCGCGTATCGCTTACATCTGATTTATTACTATTGCAAGGAACTCATTACCCCCAGTGTATAAAATGATCAGTACTATAAGGAGGATTCTTAAATATTACTTTAATCAATAAGAAGGGAAGGGTGGGTGACTGGAGCGATAAAATGAAACAGGGACAACAAAAGGATAAATTAGAAGAGAATTCGCTGATTGCTGGCTGAGTAGGAAATTTTTTGCCCCGGGAAATCGACCAAAATGTCACGAACGACGAGATCGTTATTTTAAACGATTCAACTAGGCAATGAGTGTGCATATGAAAATGAATCAACAAGAAGCTTGGTTCCGCCGTTTTCTCAGCGATGGTGTTTTTCGATTATTCGTTGGTGTATTTGAATGAAGCATGGAAAAGAATACTGTGGTGGTGATGGTTGTGAAGCATTGGTAGTAAAATGTAGCTAAATCTGCTTCCGAACTGTTAGGCTGACAAGACGATGGTAAAATTTCGAGTGGCATCAAAGTCATTTTGTACTACGGAATATGAAACTTTATAGGCTTGAGAACTCGACCCACAAGATGGGCGAAAACAACCACAACATCGAAAGCGTAGAGCTGGTGTTCAGACCAGAAATTTCTCTTGCAATTTAGTTTCGGAACTATTCTGGAACAAAGTCATTGGTTCAGTACACTGAACGTGGCCATCACTGCGGCCGATATGAAGGAAATGCTAAATCTCAGTTACCTTGTTTTTGGTGTTATACACACATATATGGAAGCTCTTCTAACAGCCCACCACACCAAGCATTGAACAGCAGCTGGTGCAGAGCGAAGATCCTGCGCATGCACCCATAGGCAAAGTCGAGAATGTGTCAAGTGAAGGATGAGGATGTGACTCCTATAATTCCCGGCATCGAAGCACTAGCTAATCGAGAATATAAGGAAAGCACAACACCGTTTTATGGAGAATCAACTGCTATTTGTGTGATCAGTAGCAAAGCATTGGCAATGGTGGAAGCATACCTGAAAGCTGAGCAAGTAAAACTGCTCTGAAACTTCCCATACGAAGTAAGGAAGAAATATAAAAAAATATCTTATCTTCTAGATAATGTTCGCAGACAAATCGAAAAAATGGATAAAAATAATCGATACAGAGTGTTCGGCTGACAGCAGCGTCACTGTTAGGTACAAAGAAACGATACTGATGAAAACCATGAATTGAGAGTGGAAATGCAAAAGATCTCAAGAATAAAGACGGAAGTCGTTAGTTTCGTGATCGTTGCCCTCGGTGCAGTGAAAGGAACGTTAGCACCTACTGAAGTCAGTAAATCAAGCGATGTAGATCAATGAATTGCGGAAAGCGACTCTGGTGATATTCTGCAGAGTACTGCAGGTACTACTTGGTAGTGAGTTCGATGTGAAGCGATGTTCATACCGCTCATTATTTTGTTCCTTGGAGTGCGACTGCAACAAAAAGAACACCTCGTTTCTAGTTAAATTTGCTGAATTTTTATCATTACCACCTTTTAATACTTGTTTCAAGAGCTAACGTTCCTTAGATTTGTTATCATTTTGTTACTCTTATGTTTATGGTTCCTGTGGTTATACATGAAAGTCTTAACAAATGACTGCAATAATTCTTTATTAATAATGCATTGCTTTAATATGGTAATTATACGGAACACGCTACGAGTGTTTCTGTCATTTGTTGCCACTTGCCTCGTCCTTCTAGGACTGAGAAAGAACGCTCCTTAGGATCGTTTGTTTCAATTATGCTAATTTTACATTACACAAGTACCACCACCTCGGGAAAAAATAAAAATTTTCTTCAATTTAGCCTATCTTCCTCACTCGTTTTCCCGCCGAGATCAAGTTATTTTACATGTCTCGTTGTTCTGACGACATGCAAATGACGGAGTCGGTATGATATGTTATCTGACGATGCTCACTAAAACAACTATGTAACAATTATTTCAGGTAGATCTTTTAATGCCAGGTGTGGGTGAGATGGTTGGTGGTAGCATGAGATGCTGGGAATACGACAAACTCATCGACAGCTACAAGAAAAACGGAATCAACCAAGCACCGTACACCTGGTACACGGATCAAGTATGTCGGTCTTCCGCGCTTCTCTGTGCTTGTATCTGTGACTATGACTGAGACATTAACTAAGAGGTAGCAGAGGTAGTACCTTCGGGCGACATTACTGATTTATCTTATGAATCGTGGACTGATGTGACTTCGACTCGGTCAGTAATCTCCTAGACAAAGAAC